AATGAATGACATGAATTAAATAGATTCATTTAGATTAAATTTTCTACTAACTTGGTACATAATAAAATAGAGTGCTCTGATTAATTTTATTATCTTTATTACGTTGCATCTTAATTATTTACATTTTATTATATTTATTTTATTATTGTTAATACTATTTATTTATCTTATTTGCATTGACTTTGGATGTTAATTGTGCATTGCATACGATTGTTTAGATTGATTAATATGATCTGCATTTTGATTGGGCAATGTTTTGATTAATTGTGGTTTGTGATAATGCTTATGCTTTGTTTTGTGTGGATATTGGGATGAATTGGACCACGGTTGGGTTTTGGTGAGGACGTTCTGTGATATGGATCCGAATATTATATGATATTTGAACCGTCCCGGTGCCGGAAAATGGGAGAATCGCGCCCACCCGTGTGCACCTGATGAAATGGATTATGTGAACCACCAGGAATGGCTTCTTGTTGTTCGCGGCCATTGAATTGCCTGGATAATCTATGGATTTGGATTGTAGCGACCGCAGTGGCGTGGCCTCTCGTGTTTTGTGAAGTACTTGATGATCTACCGATGGATGGAGACCAACCGGGGTTTGCCTCTGTTGGTATGGAAAAGAAAAAGAGCGAAATGGAAATACATGAGAGGACTGGTCAGTGAGGATTAGACTCGAGTTGGCCGTGATGGGGATCGGCTCCGGGTAATGCCTGGGTGCAACACTGTCATGGAGGGCGAGCCAGATGGTGTGAGGACGGCTCGTCATGGGCGTTTCAGTGGCGCCACTGACTAATTTCTTCGCACGTGGAGTGTGATTATAGTGAGAGATGTTTTTATGATGATGTGGTGCTGGTGATATGCCAATTTGTGGTGACTCGGCATGCGTGAGGCAATATAACTTAGTCGGATGAATTAGATTAATATGTGAGCTCATTTGGGTATTTCGCGGGGGTGCAATATTATTACTCTTAGCAACTCACATGTCTTGTTTATTTTTCAGGAAGTAGGTGATTTTTTCCTTTAATCGGATTTTAGGCTAATGTTTCGGCGAGGGCATAAATGATATTTTTTTCCTAGTTCCATAATTAATTTTTGTTTATGTATACAGCTAAGCAGTTAGTGACTTCGCGCAGTTGTATGGGATTTGTGATACTTTTAATCATTTATAATTATAAGGATGATAATTATGTGAACCCATATTAATAATGTGATGCCATTGTTACATTAGGGCCCGAACTGTGGAATGTTGGTAGCTGTATAAAATTTGGGGCCGAAGATTAATAAAATAATTGGAGGTTTTCTTTCATATTCATATGGCTGGAATGGTTGAATTTTCATATCGAGATAAAGATCAGCTGTCAGGCATCTTACGGGCCATCGGTAGCGTTTCAGGCTTACTACGGGCCTCGGGGGCCTTAAGCTTACCTGGGCCCTAGTGCCGGTCCGGCCCACGGAAACGGGTCGTGACAATTATTATTTAATTTTTAAATATTATTTATTATCAATCGAAAAAATAATTTAAAAATATTAAAAATAATAATAAAGATTGTCCTTACTATTAAACCAAACTTCTTCACTCATATAAATGTATTAAGTTAATCCAAGCTCAAAGTCAAGAGTCAACCTATTTTTTATTTACATTTTAAGTCCTAACTAATTTATTAGGGTGCTATTGTAATAAAATATTAAAGTTAAGGTAAAATTGATATAAATATCAAATTAGAGTGAAATTATAACAAAATATTAAAATTAAGGATGAAATTGATATAAATATCAAAATATAGTGGAATTGTAATAAAACTTAAAACTGTGGATGAAACGATGTATTAAGGAATTGTACATTGTTCAATTCTTACTTGTTCAAAGACTCTGAAATAGATCGATAGAAACTACGACTTTGCATGGTTTTTGGGGACTCAAATCGAATCGAGGAATCATATTGAATCGAATTGAAATTGAAAATGAATCGAAATAGTAGGAGCCAATCATATAAAATCGAATGAAATTTATTATCTTGGTTCTAGTTCTAGTTTTGGTTCTAAAGAATCATATTGAAACTTTATTAGAACCGAATTGAACCGAACAAATTTGAAACTCGATTCATACATATATCAAATTTTATTATTTGAAAATAAAATATTTATTAGTTGGTACTATTTAATTAATAATAGAAATAAAGTATAAATTAAAATTATTTCTCCCACATAAAAAATTAATATCTAATGACTCTCATCATCTTTTATTTATTTTATAATATTTTAACAATATGATAATTCATAAACGTCTATACAATACTTTACTATAACTATAATTTTCTCAGAAGGCACAATTTACATAGATTATTTTTATTTTTAAAAAGTTTCAATTTACTAACACTGTTTATCATGTGATAATAGTGAGGGTACGGGTATCATCATTTTGGAGATTTCATAGAATTTAAAAGCTAATGAAGCTTCTTTTTATGGATAACAAAAATAAACTTCATTATTCAATTATTAATTATGATATTTTTTTTTATTTTTAATAAGTAAAAAAAGGTTTTCAATTTAACTAACACTGTTTTATCATGGTGAATAAATAGTGTAGAGGTAACGGGTATCATCAGATCAATTTTGGAGATTTCAAAATTCATAGAATTAAGAAGCTAATGAGCTTCCTTTTTATATGGATAACAAAATAAAATAAATAAACCTTCATATTCAATTATTCAATTAATTAAATTATGATTTATATTATGATGAATTTATTGATATTTATAATCTCCAATATTATTATTTTTGGGAATGATTAAATAATTTGAAAGATGAATGGAGCTATTTTTTTTTTTTAACATACAAAAAAAGAATAAAAATAAAATAAAAATAAAAAATTATAAAAAAAAACCTTTATATGGATCATTATTTTTTAATGTCTATCTATCCTAGTACATACATGTATGATGAATTGTCTTCTTTTTTTTTTTTTTTTTTAATTATTAGCATGTATTGTGTAATTGGTAAATTTTATTTGGATATTTAGAATATTTTTTTTAATAATAAAGGGAGACATTGCCAATGATGTGTTTAAAATATAATAATTTTCAACAAGCGGGGAAAATTGAAAGGATTCCGCGATCCAACATCATTTTAATAGTCAAAGAGGTTTGAAAAGGTTTTGAATTTCATATAAGAATAATAAGTTTGATTTTTTTTTAGTCTAAATATAATGATACAACAAGTGGAATTATTTTTTAGTGTTTATAATTTAAATTATTTTTTTTTTTTTATTTTTTTAATTTTTTTTTTTCAGAGCTAAATTAGAACAAATTAATCAATTCAAAATTACTTACTCTTCAACTCACAGTTACTCCTCAACAAAATTTAGCAAAATAAAAGTAGAAGAAAATCATTGATTATCTTTAAATTTTTTTCAAGTAACTAAGTAGGAAATTAATAATTAAATTTATTTTTGTTTGGAGTTTATTTAATTGGCATTAAAGAGGAATTTTTTAAAAAATTATAAAATTTTATAAAAATTTTTAAAATTTCCATTTGCTCTGTTTTGAAAATCTATTCCTTTTTAATATCAGTTTTAATATTTTAACAATATGATAATTCATAAACGTCTATACAATACTTTACTATAACTATAATTTTCTCAGAAGGCACAATTTACATAGATTATTTTTATTTTTAAAAAGTTTCAATTTACTAACACTGTTTATCATGTGATAATAGTGAGGGTACGGGTATCATCATTTTGGAGATTTCATAGAATTTAAAAGCTAATGAAGCTTCTTTTTATGGATAACAAAAATAAACTTCATTATTCAATTATTAATTATGATTTATTGATATTTATAATCTCCATATTATTATTTTGGAGAATGATTATAATTTGAAAGATGATGGGAGCTATTTTTTACAAAGAATAAAAATAAAACTTTATTATGGATCATTATTTTTTAATGTCTATCCTAGTACAGTATGATTCTTTTTTTTTTTTAATTAGCATGTATTGTAATTTTATTTGGATATTAGAATATTTTTATATAAAGGGACATTGCAATGTGTTTAAAAATATAATAATTTTCAAGCGGGGAAAAATTGAAAAGGATTCCCGATCAACATCATTTAATAGTCAAAGGAGGTTTGAATTTCATATAGCGTGTTGATTTTTTTAGTCTAATGATCACACAAGTGGAATTATTTTTAGTGTTTATATTTATTTTTTCAAGAGCTAATAACAAATTAAATCAAAATACTCTTCACAAATTTACAAATAGAAAATCATTGATTATCTTTAAATTTTCAAGTACTAGTAGGAAATTTATTTGGAGTTTATTGGCATTAGGAAAATTTTAAAATTTCCATTTGCTCTGTTTTGAAATCCTTTTTATATCAGTTGCTAGTAATTTGAATATTATTTTATTTAAACCCATTAATCTCATAAAGCTAACTACTGTTTACAAGATATAATAATAATACAGCAACATAATAATAATTTTTCTTGAAAAAAAAGTTGTTAAAGGTCCACAATCCAAATATCACGTCAAGTCATCTTTTTCGTATTAGATACCTCTAGTCCACAATAGAGTCTAAAGCGTGGATATTAATTAATGGTATAATGAATAGATTTGATCTTAAATTTTAATTAATTTTTCTTGTGATTTTTTAAGTTTTATGGAAATTTAATTATGATTTTATATTTTTACATCTCCATAATGTTTATGTTTTTTATCAAAATGAAATAATTTTTTTAAAAATCGGATTATGATTCTGTTGTTTTATATTTTATTTTAATAATAAATATAATTATTATTAAAGTAAAACGCGGGATGTAATAGTTCCTGCAAAATTCAAGAGAAATAAAAAAGTAATTGCAGAAAATGCACGGATACCGCGTAACGACCCTGACTGCCTTCCCGCGTTTTAAAAGGTACAATGTCATTTAATTAAATAATTAATTAATTATAGTTTAAATTAATCAATAAATAAAGAAACTTTCAGATGCTTTGACTCTGCCAAGTGCCAGTATTACCGTTCCAATAAAACGGGAGTGAAGAAGAAACCGTTACACGCTCTCAGCAATGTTCGCGCTCTTGCCATTTCTCCTTCCTCTAAATTGCTATATCATTGCTCTTCACTCCAATCTGAGTTAATACAAACAGAGAATGGAAGAAAAGGGAGTCCATGCTTAAAAAAGCAATAGCAATTAGCATAAATAAGCTTTCTCCTTTTGTCTGCTTCGCCCCAACTAACCGGCTTTTCTCTCACCTTTCTTGTGGCTTTCCTGGAAATTTCACCATGCATTCTTAGGAATTTCATTTTCGCCGTGGTGGTCTTGTATTTAAAGGTTAATTGTTTGCTGTTGTGATAAGAAAAGAGACGAGGGAAATGGAGAACTTGTTGAGTGATTTTGATGTGCAATCGAAACATTCATCTGAGGATGTATTGCAGAAATGGAGGACGTTATGCGGTGTGGTCAAGAATCCGAAGCGTAGGTTTCGATTCACTGCTAATCTCTCCAAGAGATATGAGGCTGCTGCTATGCGACGGACCAATCAGGTTTAATATTATTATTTTTAAAATCTAAGCTAATATAGCCAGTAATTGCTCACCAAAAGCTACCATATTACGAGCTAAGACTGGGTCATTTAAAAAATTAGTTGAATTTGTAGATACTAAAAGGCATTTCATTAGTTTTTTGTAAAATCTCGTTCATTAAGCTCATTGATGTTTTTTCCCTTGATTTATTTTGGGTGGTCATGGGAAGAAGGGGGATTGGGTATTTTACAAAGCAGGTACTTGAATACTAGGATACTTGTGGTTGGCTTTATTAATTTGGGGAGACATTCATTTAGACTGTAAACTATTGAAGTTTGGCTGTTAAATCTCTCCTGGGTTTGGAGAAGGTAGCCTGTTTACTGCTGACTGGAGTTTCCTTATATGAAAATGAAAAAAAGAAAATACAACAATAAGCAAGAATGCTACTAAATGGACTGGAAGTATAAATTTATCTATTGCGGAACTTATGCTTCTTCTCTTTAAATTTCATCTTATGACATTTTCTTCTCGGATGAGAAATTTGGGTAACTTCCGTATCATTGTTTATCTTACTCAGCTTACATCAATTCCCCCAATCTGAGTTTGTCTCTCAACAGCCATGTAATTTGGATAAGGTTTTTCCTTATATAAAACTTATAGACAAATTAATGTGTCTATTTAACTTAAATGGGAATAATATCTCGGTGACACTATTGGTGACAGTAATGTTATGGGAAACATTAATTTCACATTGTTGTTTCTGTAATTTTTTTATTATTTTTGTATTTTTTGCATATGCTGAAATGAGATGTTTACCCTGTTTTATACCGAGACAATTTCTTTTCTGCCGATTAATAGAAGTTGTTCTTGAGGGGGTTTTTGAACTTTGAAATTTCTTGCTGAATTGACCTTGATATCCTACTTTGTTTCTTAAACCTGTGTCTACATTTGTTTTTGTTGCTTTCTGTTTGCTTCACCATTTATTTCAATACGAATTACAACTTGGTCTCAAGGTTGACCAGCAAAATAAGTAGATGTCTCTGAGTTGCTTCTTACCTTTCATTTTTGTTGAATATCCAGGAGAAATTAAGGATCGCAGTTCTAGTCTCCAAAGCTGCATTTCAATTTATCCAAGGTTAGCTTTTTTTTTTTTTTTTTAATCCACTTCATCATTCCAAAATCATCAAATCATCATCAAATCAGTCAGCTCGAGACATTTCAAATTATCCATCTCAAATCATCCACATTTTCGTCGCTCATTCTAATTGCATCGAATCAAAGTCATCGATCATTTTTCTTTCATCATTCTCGGATCATCCAAAAATTGTCAAATCAATCAATTTCGCCAACTCACTCAAAATCATTGTTCAGTACAATTTCAATCATGTTTATCTTACTTACAGCTTAACATCAATTCCGCCTCCCAATCTGAGTTTGTCCCTCTCAACAAACCCATGTAATATTTGGATAAGGTTTTTTTCCTTAATATAAAATCTTATAAAGACAAATTATGTGTCTAATTTTTTTAAAACTTTAACTTTTAACTTAAATGGAATAATATCTCGGTGACAATACTATTGGTGACAGTAATGTATGGAAAACATTAATTTCACATTGTTGTTTCTCCTCGTTGTTCTGTAATTTTTTTTTTTTTTTATTATTTTTGTTAATTTTTTTTTTTGCATATGCTGAAAATGAAATGTTATAACCAGACCCCCTGTTTTAATAAATTAAAAAAAAAAAAAAATAATAAATACCGATGACAATTTCTTTCTTATTCTTTCTGGCGAAATTAAAATTAAAGAAGTTGTTTTCTTGGAAGGGGGTTTTTTTTGAATTTTTTTTGAACTTTGAATTTTTTCGTTGCCTCTGAAATTGACCCTTGATAAATCCTACTTTGTTTCTTTTAAAAAAAAAACCTGTTGTCTAGCAATCTACACTACAAAACATTTGTTTTTGTTTGCCTTTCTGTTTTGCCTTTCATTGCACCATTTATTTCAATAACAGATTAACAACTTGGTCCTGTCCTCAAGGTTGAACCAGCAAAATAAAGGTAGATGTCTCTGAAGTTTGCTTCTTTAATTACTCTTAACCCTTTATTTTCATTTTTTTTGTTGAATATTAAATCCCAGGAGATAAATTAAGGAATCGCAGTTTCTACTAGTCTCCAAAGCTGCACAATTTTTCAATTTTATTTATCGCTCAAGGTTAGCTTTTTTTTTTTTTTTTTTTTTTTTTTTTTTTTTTTTTTTTTTTTTTTTTTTTTTAAGTTTTTTTTTTTAGCAGCTTTTTTTTTTTTTTTTTTTTAGAAATTAAATACTGTAGTACTGTACTGTAAACTTAAAAATAAATTATTAAAGCCTTGGTCTTTGTAGTTTTCTTTCCCTTTCTCTCCTGATAATTATAAATGGATGAATGTTGTAGGTGTGTTCCCCAAGAGTGACATAAAACTGTACCTCTACAAGAAAGTGAAGAAGGCTGCTGGTTTTTGAAATTTGTGCCGGATGAGTTAGGAATCAATAGTCGAAGGACCCATGATGTAAGAACTAAAGTTTCATGGTGGAGTAAATGTCTTGCAACAAAAGCTCTCCAACTTCATTCACCACTTTTTTTTTTTTTTTTTTTAGATTACTGTAAACTTAAAGCTTGTTCTTTGTAGTTTTCTCCTGATAATTATAAATGGAATGTTTGTAGGTGTGTCCCCAAGTGACTACACTGTACCTACAGAAGTGAAGGCTGCTGGTTTTGAAATTTGTGCCGATGAGTTAGGATCAATAGTCGAAGGCCATGATGTGAAGAAACTAAAGTTTCATGGTGGAGTAGATGGTCTTGCACAAAAGCTCTCCACTTCAACCACTAATGGTCTTTCTACAGACAATGATCTACTGAATCGCAGACAAGGGATATATGGGATTAACAAATTTGCCGAGAGTGAATCTAGGAGTTTCTGGATATTTGTTTGGGAAGCCCTTCATGACATGACTCTTATGATACTCGGGGTGTGTGCTCTTGTGTCTTTAATAGTTGGCATAGCGACAGAAGGATGGCCAAAAGGGGCTCATGATGGCCTTGGAATTGTTGCTAGCATCTTGTTGGTTGTGTTTGTCACAGCATCAAGTGATTATCGTCAATCATTACAATTCAAGGATTTGGACAAGGAGAAAAAGAAGATCAGCATTCAGGTCACAAGAAATGGATTTAGGCAGAAGTTATCAATATATGATTTGCTTCCAGGTGATATTGTACATCTTGCTATTGGAGACCAAGTCCCTGCGGATGGGCTTTTTGTTTCAGGATTTTCTGTATTAATTGATGAATCAAGTTTAACTGGTGAAAGTGAGCCAGTAATGGTGAACTCCGAAAATCCTTATATGCTCTCTGGAACAAAGGTCCAAGATGGGTCATGCAAAATGTTGGTTACCACTGTGGGGATGAGAACCCAATGGGGTAAATTAATGGCAACTCTCAGTGAGGGAGGAGATGATGAAACCCCATTGCAGGTAAAATTGAATGGAGTGGCAACCATTATTGGCAAGGTAGGTCTTGCCTTTGCTGTAGTGACTTTTGCAGTTTTGGTGCAAGGCCTACTTAGCCATAAATTGCATGAAAGATCCCACTGGAGTTGGTCGGCAGATGAAGCATTAGAGATGCTAGAATACTTTGCAGTTGCAGTTACAATTGTTGTTGTTGCAGTTCCAGAGGGACTTCCACTGGCGGTGACATTGAGTCTTGCCTTTGCCATGAAAAAGATGATGAATGATAAAGCACTTGTCCGACATCTGGCAGCTTGTGAGACCATGGGATCAGCAACAACTATCTGCAGTGACAAAACCGGGACACTGACTACTAACCGTATGACAGTTGTGAAATCATGCATTTGCATGAATATCAAGGAACTAGGCCAATCTGATAAGGCCTCAAGCTTGTGCTCTGAAATACCTGATTCTGCTGTGAAACTTCTGCTACAATCAATATTTAATAATACTGGAGGTGAAGTTGTTGTTAGTAAAGATGGAAAGCTCGAGATATTGGGAACACCTACTGAGAGTGCTTTATTGCAGTTTGGCTTGTCTTTAGGTGGAGATTTTCAAGCAGCTCGACAGGCTGTGAAACTTATTAAAGTTGAGCCTTTCAACTCTACAAAAAAGCGAATGGGGGTAGTGGTGGAGCTTCCTGAGGGAGGCTGCAGAGCCCACACTAAAGGTGCTTCAGAAATTGTTTTGGCTGCTTGTGACAAGGTGATTAATTCGAAAGGTGAAGTTGTTTCCCTCGATGATGCATCGCTTAACCATCTTAAGGTTACAATTGATCAGTTTGCTAGTGAGGCTCTTAGAACTCTATGTCTTGCCTATATGGATGTAGGAAATGGGTTTTCCCCTGACAATCCCATTCCAGTTTCTGGGTATACTTGTATTGGCATTGTGGGTATTAAAGATCCTGTTCGTCCTGGTGTCAAGGAGTCAGTTGCAGTTTGTCGTTCAGCTGGTATCACTGTACGAATGGTTACTGGAGACAATATAAATACTGCAAAGGCTATAGCTAGGGAATGTGGGATTCTTACTGATGATGGTATAGCCATTGAAGGTCCAGATTTTAGAGAGAAGAAACAGGAAGAGATGCTTGAATTAATTCCCAAAATTCAGGTCTTCTTTACTTCTTTTTATTTTGTGCAATGTGCCAGCAATTAAATTTCTAATTAGCAAGAAGAGCTTTTCTAGCTAGAACTCATTTCAATTTATTTATAGGTGATGGCTCGTTCCTCACCTCTAGACAAGCATACTTTGGTGAAACAATTGCGAACTACATTTGGAGAAGTTGTTGCAGTGACTGGTGATGGAACGAATGATGCCCCAGCTCTTCATGAAGCAGATATTGGTCTCGCAATGGGAATTGCTGGAACTGAGGTGAGTTTATCCTGTCCAATTGCAAAATTGATCTTATTGCATCTGATAAGTTAGGCACTATTACCACATTGATGGAAAAACAGACTTTTACCCATCATCAGCTGTTTATTGTCTTTTTAGCGCTCAACATTTTGAAGCAGTGATATCTGCGTTCAAAATGAAAGTAAAAGTAAATGATAGTTTGTCTAATTAACTTCTGATCTTCAGGTGGCTAAAGAGAGTGCTGATGTCATAATTCTGGATGATAATTTCTCTACCATCGTGACTGTGGCGAAATGGGGACGTTCAGTTTACATAAATATTCAAAAATTTGTACAGTTCCAGCTGACAGTTAATGTTGTTGCATTAGTTGTTAACTTCTCTTCAGCTTGTTTGACAGGTAAGAAAGTTCCAATTCTTTCTGTGTTAGGATTTATTGCTTTTCTTGGTACCATGGAAACCGTTTTGTATATTGTGCTAACGTCTGCGGTCCTTGTGGGTGAAAACATTTTTTAGGGAGTGCTCCCCTCACTGCTGTTCAGCTTCTGTGGGTAAATATGATTATGGATACACTGGGAGCACTAGCACTCGCAACAGAACCTCCAAACAATGAATTGATGAAACGTGCACCAGTTGGAAGGAAAGGGAATTTTATTAGCAATGCCATGTGGAGGAATATCCTAGGCCAGTCTTTATATCAGTTTCTAGTAATATGGTATCTTCAGGCAAAAGGGAAAGAAGCATTTGATATCGAGGGTCCAGATTCTGATCTTCTCCTGAATACTCTCATATTCAATTCATTTGTCTTTTGTCAGGTATAAGCTTTTCTAAAAACCTCACTACTTATATTGTTAAGGTCAAAATTATGTTTACAATAGAAGGTATTTTATTTGACTCTGCAGGCTTTCAATGAGATAAGCTCACGAGATATGGAGCGCATCAATGTCTTCAAAGGCATACTGAACAACTATGTTTTTGTTGCTGTTCTTGGCTGCACTGTCATTTTCCAAATCATAATTGTGGAATTCCTGGGCACATTTGCAAATACAACACCTCTCAATCTATCACAATGGCTTGTTTGCGTAATAATTGGATTTATAGGCATGCCAATTGCTGCTATACTGAAGATGATCCCAGTATAAATTGCACTTAAGAGATGCTGCTGTCTTTTGAATTTTCATCTAAAACCCTACATTTGATAACTGACTTCGAGGTTTCTTCTTGGTGGAAGATTGACGAAGTAGTGCAATTATTTGCACGCTTAAGTTCTTTTTGCTTGTCTTTGGCAACTGTTTTCCAAAACCAATGGAATTTTTCTTCTTCTTCTTCTTCTTCATTCTTATCTATTTCTAGCAAGTGCAGTTTTTCATGCATCTTATAGATGAAATTCCAGTTTGGAGGCTTTGTTTAAGGCTTGCTCATGTAAAGGAGCTTTCTTCATTGAATCAATTTACTCTCATGTAGTTAAAAAATTCTTTATTTTTGGATTTTTTTAATTATTTGTTAAGAGCTTTATTATTTCAGAAACCACAAGCATGGGCTTAATCTATTAGCCTGATTGGTCGTAATTTATTAGAGACGCAAAATAAATAAATTTTATATTTATTTGTAGCAGCATAATAATTTATTTGACTCCAATGATATATTATATTCAATTGAGCTCTAATTGCTAAAATATAAAAAGCAACAGATCCTTTCAATGATAAACAAGCTAACATTTCCCTTGGAAGAGTTTATGAAATTCTCATACTACTTTTCTCCCAATTTGTCCCTTTTTTACTTCCTTTGCAACTTCAAATGGGGATGAAACTGACAATTTGTCCCGATTTATTACCGACATTTTTTCCTGGACCGAGGAAGAAGAAGAAGAACACGAGCTTTTCCTGCTGGGATTGCAGAAATTAAGGACATGAGATTGGAGAGGAATTGCAAAAGATTTTCTGAAGATACATGCCTACCGAATTGGCTAGTCATGCTCAGAAGTATGTCATCCAGGCCAAGCCTCCAAAATGGCACCACCGCAGTAGTCTCTTTGACATACAATAGTTCCATCATAGCTATTCTATTTGCGGGCTTGTCTCTCAGATAAAGTTCTCTTCACTTGTAGCATCTCCAATGCAAACGTAAATTGCTCTTACTTAATTACCACTTCAAAAAAATAAAAAGACTTTTTAAAAAATATTCTTTAATGTTAATGTCTATTTAATATGTCAAGATGTGTCAAAAAAAATCAAAAGATATTATCTACTATCCTTCTTTCAATTTCTAGAGATTCTCTTAGACAATTTTAACATTTATTGCTCTTTGGTGATTGATTGCATATTAATATTATAGATGCTCTGAGACCAGACAAAAACGAAACTTGCATGTATTTCCTGTAGATGAAATTTAGGCTTGAAGGCTGTGCAAGGGTTCCCGTATATATATATATATAAACAAATACAATTTCTTGGTCAGATGAACACATATGCTGCTTTCACTTTACATTAGGGTAAATATTTCCATCATAATTCTATTGTTAAAATTATTATAAAAAGAACTCGATTTTATTCTTCCATTACAGTAAACCTCCCACTTTCATAAACATGGTACAACCAAACAGGTTCAACCAATGCTCTGGCACTTTGTAATTTCTGCTTCGCATCTCCATCGCTTTGTTCTTCAATTTCTCTCTCAATATGAGGGTAAATGTCCGGAAGAGAGCTCAACATCATATCAAGTTCACTCCAAGTTTTGTCTTCTTGGCCAACTAACTTCACACATACAAAGTGTAGGATTCCTAATACTAATCCAAAATCCTTCCTTTCCAGGCCAACAACAGAGTAAATCAAGAAAATCACTCCGACTGAATCTAGTACGTTCGGATTCCTTTTCAACAAAGAAAGTATTATTTCTATAAATTTCTCGAACACAGGAAATTTCTCCTCTGATTCTAAAACTTTATCCTCCTCTTCTGGGTTAACTTCACTCATTTTGCAGAGCTCAGTCTTTGCTAAAATTAAAGGCCATGATGGAAAATGGAGCTTAACCTGAGATAATGATGTCAAATAGGCGCCTTCTACTGGAGTTTGTTTAAGAATGCCGCCGGATCCCAATGCTAGAATTAAATCTGGCAACCACGACTTTGTTGCTGCAACAATGCGTGCAGCAAAACTCGAGCCCAAGTAGAGTTCAATTGAGGTGATTAGATCAAGAATATCATTTGCAAGATCACAAGCCTCTTGTGTAGGTAGAGAAGTTCCGTTAGTGTCCTTAAGGATGAGATTCAGTAACTTGCCTGCATAGCTGAAAGAGCTCTTGAGACACAGAATACTGTCTTTCAAATCATCCTCCTTAAGTTGCAATCCTTCACTATATTGTTGCCCTAAGGCAAAGATGACGTGCTTGAAATATGATGCTGCAAAGCTTAAGCACCTTTTATGAATGTCAGAAAGAAAGCCCATTGCAATTGAATCAACAATGAACTTGAGAACTGCTGTAAGCATCTTCAACTTATTTGACATTATCTTCTCTTTATCATGAGGAAATCCTAAAGAAATATTAAAAAACAAATACTGAGTCATAAGAATGACATTTTTCTTGAGACAGGAACATTTACATAAAAGTAACGCTTGATGGACCTTATTGCAAAGCACAGAGGTTGAAAACTATGATCATGTTCTATGTTCCAGTAATTACCATTCTAAAATTAAACAGCAGTCCACAAGCAACGCATCAATCACATTTTCTTATCTACTCACCACCATTATTTGAGCTAGAGGCATCTGTTCGAGACTCCTTTAGCTTTTCGCCGTGATGAGCAGGTAAATAGCCAGAAGCTCCAGCATCAGCTGCTGCAAGCAGCTTCTCAGTACAATTAAGAAGGTGATCTGTTGTCTCATCCAACAACGTCCTCTGAAAAGCAAATTTATGGAAAGAGAATAGAAAGAAGATGTTCTTTTAGCGGAACAAAATTTTCATATATATCAAAAGTAGAAGCAGATATTTGAGCAGTTATTAGTGACAAGTAAATAGCTCAAGTAACAAAGTTATGCTGCTTGAGAAGTTCACAAAGGTCCTATACAGTACTAGTTACAGAAAACTGATTGTATTATAGAGAGAACGACTATAGATTAGTAAAAGACTAAAAGGGGAAAAAACTACTACTTGCCTCCAGAATTGATGAAGTCTCAATCCTATCATTCTTCTGGGTACCATATTCGTTTGTCCTAATGTTGATATCTTGAAGAGTCATATGCACAGCAAGGGCTGTATATGCTAAAATAGGATATGTGTCCATGTATTCACAGCAGATGCAGTGTAAAATGCTGACTTCTGAAATGACCTTTAAAGCAAGGAATGGCAGTTCTAGAGCTTGAGACCCTAGTATAGCTTTTTTCGAGTCATCAGAAACAAGCAAGTCTTTTATTTGCCAGGCTATTCCTACAGCAACTGAATAATCATTCTCAAAATCAGATGCAGTTTTCCCATTTACATGCTTCCACTTAACTGAACTTTTGGCTGAGGACTTGCATTTCTTTCTTTTCCTAGGGAAAATTCTCTGCTTTGGCATTTCAATGCCGAATTTAACATGGCAACGATAGGCAGTTTTTTGCAAGACCTTTGTTTGAGCCTCAAACATATCATCAAAATTATCACAAGACATCAACAATTTGTGTGCAGACCTCACTTCAGCTTGCAGTTCCACATTCTCGGGTATTCCACTACAATTAATGATGAGATGCATACATTCTTCAACAAGCACAGTCACATCCTCTAGAGAGACAGCCGAAAAAATGTTGAGTACAGATGATTGAGCACATGCAGTTGAAGCAGCTGCAAACAAGCGCTTTACTTTTCCATCTGCAAGTAACTCTTTCAGGGCATTATTATAACATGGCTCACCCACCAGACTGTTGCAAATATGGGAAGCAGCAGCAAGTAAACCCTCAATTTGAACTGCTTCCAGCTGACCATGTGACAAAACCAAACTTATGAAAGCTTTGAAAAGCTCCATGAGAGACTTAAGAGATGCCCCTTCTGATACAGCAAATTCACAAAACCTCGCACCAGCCATTGGAGATCTTTTGATAAGAGTAACACAACGATTACATGCCTCTTCAGTGCTTACTTTTGAGGGGAAGTATGATGGCAAAAGCAATCTTGTTATTTTCTGAGCAACCTGAGGTTGATCATTTGCAAGACTTGACAATAGTACGTCTAAACCTACAACCTGCAGTCGTTAAATCAAAAAAACCATCAGCCAAAAAGAAAACTAAGAATAATAATATCAAGCAACAAATACGAGATGCAGTGCATAATAAAAATTACCATGCCATGCAAATTAGGAATTTCCTGAATTCTCAATACCTTGTTAAACTGGAATGTTCGGATATCCCGTGTAAGGAGGAGGAGATCCATAAAAGCAACACGAGTGGAAAGCCCGTTATCCAAGATTAGATGTCCCAATCTCGGCAGAAGCACTTTCAGAATTTCATGAGATTGTGGATTTCCAAGCAAATAAACGATCCCATCCACTGTTGAAAGCCTAACCTCATTGCATATATCATGTGACATATCATCGCAAATTCTTGAGAGTATCTTTGTAATGGTTGATGGAGGTATGATTTCCCAAAATAAATGAAGAACACGGCAACAACCTTCCACTGCAACAACTCTCACACCTGGACAATCATCCATGAGCAATCTCTCTAGTAAAAAAAACTGTTTATCGTGCAGTGTATCTTTAATTTCTTTTGTCGCATCTGGATCTTCAAGGGGAAACAAGTCTAAAAATAAATGCAATGCATTAAGACGAACATTGGAATTTGCAACCTGTGAAAAAAGGTAGACAGCACTAGGTCATAGTTCTCCATTTAAATTACATAAATCAGCAACTATAACTCATAGATGGTTCAGGGCACAATTTTAAATTCAGATGTGATTCTCAGCCAACAAATTATTGACAAACCCAATTGTGTCAAAGATGAATGACACACTTAAATTGTGTCTGAGGAAATTTTATAGAATTTAATCAAGCTTTTCATCCAAAAAACAATCGGCAAACCCGCAAAACAATCCAAATATGAACATCTACATACTATTCTTTCTTTCTTACCAGCACAATATAATCCAACATATACTATCTTCACATAACATAGATGAGTTACCTGCAGGGAGCGAAATATCACTGGCTCAGCAAGCCGAAAAAGCAATTTCTCGACCCCATCGGTAACCCTTTGACTAACAAATCCCCCCAAAACCCGCCTTATAGAAGCTGCAAATGCTCCAGAATTCGCATGAATTGCACCCTCAATCAAACACTGCAAAAACCCATTCTCAATCTCATCCTTCAATTCCCCTTCCACACCTTTCCACGCCCTGAATAAAATCTCTCCATAAGCCTCCAAAATCGACCTTCTTCCAAACGGAATCTGCGATCTTATCATCGCCAATGCCTCCTTCAATAATTGCCCACTTAACCCGAACATAAACCCAAGAAATCGCCTACCGTCCTCCGTTTTCAAATACAGCGGCTCAATTACACATCGCATCAATAACAATTTCAAGTCCTCTATACTCTCATCCTCAAAATCAAACAAAGTAAACGCCTCGCGAAGAGAATAAACCCTATGTACATCAACTTTTCTTTTCGAGGTCAGTGACTTTGAAACCAAAAACGGAAGAGACTGAGAAATTAGCATTTCTCGACCTGGAAAATTCTCTTTCCAATACAACTCACATAAGCTGGCTATGTCCACTAACAAGCTCGAATCCGACTCCAACAAAACCAAGTTATCATGCAATAACTGAACTGCAGGTAATAAATCGGAGGGGGTAAACGCCTTTTTGGGATGCGAAATGCATAAAAAAGTAATGTGAGCGAGAATTTGGAGTTTCTCGAGCGTCTCTTGCTTCTCGCGAGTGAGGTCGGACTCATTTTTTGGGAAACTAGAGTCGCTTTTCCTGGAGGACCGGCGGGGGCGCTTTAAAGGAGGAGACTTGGCGTGGTCAGGGAAGACTGGTGGAGGTTGTTCTAGAAAATTCTTGAAGGAGAAGATGGAATCGGAAATAGAGTGTTGGAGAGCGGAAGGGAGAGAGGAGGAAAGCGGAGAAGAAGTGGAGATGGCGTGAATTAGGGTTTTGAAAGTGGATTTTAAGGATTTGAGATTGATTTTTATGGCGGAGGAAACGAATTCCTCAGCAGAGGATTGAAGAGACGAACGAAGTCTCTTTTCCATTTGAGAGGGAAAATTTGAGTTTCTGAAAGTGTTTGATTTTTTATTTTTTCTCTTTTCTGTTTTGAAAAAGGCACGGAGAGGGAAAGGGAAGAAGAGGATGATTTGAATAAGCCGTTGATCATAGAGAAATGTTGGGCTTGGATTTCATTCTCCACAACCCATAAGAGGACATGAAATGAAACCCAAGCGCAGTCAGCGGATTTGGGTTTTACACATGGATTGATGACGAACCGATCCAATACAGGATTGGATTGGGCCACCATGCAATTCTCAAAATATTATCCAATTTGAGTCTATTATTATTATTATTATTAGTTAAATTAATTAATTTCGGATTGAGGTTCAAATTAGCAATTTCACAGTTTTAACTACAAGTCTGATTAATATTATTTAATTAAAAAATTGATTGTTCTTTTTGAAAAATATAAATATGTACATTCAAAAATGATCACTCAAGCAAGAAATTTGATCCACCCCCCACAATTGAGTGTCAGAATTATTTGTGGGGATATAATTAGATGTTTGACACTCACTCAAATATTACATGTGCCAAGAACCATTGGAGAATGGAACACACATCTTCAACCCACTCTGTAGCTAATGATATCAACAACCTTGATAATATTTGCTTGCTTTTGAAGGGACTATGAGTCTGGGGCATTCATGGGTTTTAAAGGAAACAAAAAGTACTCTCAAACAACAAAATCTCATGTATGAGTAACTTCTACAATACCATTCCTAAAAGTAATATTTTTCTAGAAAATGTTTAAAGATTGAAACCTTCAAATTGCGGTAACATTAGCACTAATCATGATTAAGTTTATTGTTAAACATACCCAATTAAAAATTGCCATGTCAGTGATAGTCAAAGTAACTATTTGGACTCTTCAAACAGAAGAAATGATTCTTCTTCCCAACATAACAACACAACTCTACTCAATAGTACTCACCATTCCACTGATGTGGCCATTCACTGATTTGAGCATCACAAAGTTTAAAAAGAAATACAACATTTTTAGCTTAAGTGGACAGTTTTGAGTGCTTGTTCAAGTCACCATCTTGACATCCAAAATTTTGCAGGTTGGACCATACAATACAGCCTTCTATCCTAATCAAATTAAGCACTTATGCCTGGATTATTGTTTCCACTTTTTCTTTTTCCATGCAAAGCAAGCATGCCCTTTTTTGCAATTCATTCCATGATGCTCCGAAGTGAAATTTTTCCTCTTCCTAAATTATTGCAGTTTAAGACAACTCTAGTTTTTACCTTTTCATGGTAATAAAGGTAATTACCTCTTTATATAAGCACACAGTTCCTTTTATCATTGTATCATATCATTAATCAACATGATTAGTGCCATAATTAGCTTAATCCAAAATAAAAAATGTGGTGGATGAAACTGCAATGGAACCAGAAAACCTTCATTGGCTGGCTAATTAAGTTCTTAATGTTACTTAATCTGTTTCTTTGTAACAGAATTTCCTCAAGAAAACATGTGGGAACTATCAAGATGATGAGTTTGATGGATGAGTTTGATGGGGAGACACAATTTAACTGTCTCCTGTAACACTGCAGACTAGAATACATACATTTGTTGTACAAATGCCAGACTGGATATCCTAGGACGCGAAATGGAGGCATGTGGCCTCTGACAACCAATTTTTTGCCATGAATCTCAGGCCCCCATTTGAACCCCCTATCTACCCCAAAACAAAGAGACCTCTACCTTAATCATGATAAGGTTGGGTCCTAGTACTCTCATCAAAGGGAGCAAATAGCACCAGCATTCACATGTTTTTGTGAAAATGATGGCATTTGCTTGCATTAGGAACTTTAAATTTCTTGCAATGGAGACTCTAATTCCTTCAGGAAGAATTTGAAATATAGATTCTACAGATACAGGAATGCACTAATATCTCACTTTCTGATAGTTTGTTGAGATACTAGTAAATAGGATATTGCTGTTATGAAACAGTAAAAAGGGAACTTTCCACTTATAAAAAGAGAAAGCTCAAACATTCCAAACAAATCTAATCATAATTCTCGATATACTTTTCAAGACTGGCCCAAATACAAAAATATAGATGAATTATATAAAACAGAAACAGTTCTTCATTCTTTGTGGCTTTCAGCCTTTTGGAAAGCATCCCAAAGCTAAGGGTTTCAATGAAAATGGATGTATAAATCAACACAAATATATTCTGTCACAAAATTGAGAAGATATGAATGAAATACAGAAATTGACTCAAAAAAAAAAAAAAAAAAGTCACAAAATGAGACAGATATGAATGAAATACAAAATTGACTCAAAAAAAAAAAAAAAAAAAGTGCGGCCAAAGTAATATTGCGGATTATTTCATCATCAAATTCCAAAACAAAGCAATACAAAGGAATGCTATAGGACAGTCTTTCCAATAGCTTCTTCTGGCATCCTTTCTGGCTTCCTTTCTTCACATTAATGCTTTTCTTAGTCAGCACCCTTACTGTTCTTCTTCTCCTTCTTTTACTGTTGCGTTAAAAGCTTATTTCCTTATTTATTTATTTTATTTATTACTGTCCCTTTTTCCTATTCTTTCAAAAAAAAAAAAAAAAAAAGTGGGCAAAGTAATATTGGGATATTTCATCATCAAAATCCAAAACAAAGCAATACAAAGAATGCTATAGACAGTCTTCAATGAGCTTCTTCTGGCATCCTCTGGCCTTCCTTCTTCCACATTAATGGCTTTTGGACTTTAGTCAGCACCCTTACTTCTTCTTCTCCTTCTTACTGTTGGTTAAAGCTATTTCCTTTATTTATTTATTTTATTTATTTACTGTCCCTTTTCCTATCTTCTTCTTGGAGTTTTACTTGGCTGAAAATGTTTTTGTTGGGTGTTGGAAAATGGAACCCCCAATCATCAACTCCAAAAATAATATCATTCCATGGGCATATAACACTCATTAGACCTATAAATAAACCTAAATAAATTATCAGTTTTCAACGGAAAAAAAATCAAAAAATCAAAAAACCAAAATCCTGTGGTTCAACCCATTTCAAGTTTCTCCTCAAATAAAATGGAAGTTCACTGACAGATTTTCTTTACTGGGCAATTCTGATCACAGTCATTGTATGTGAGTCTTCTTTTACTGCCAGTTCCAGAGGAAGTAGTGAAGCAAGAATTAATAGAATTAGGAGAAAACGCTTGCTTTGGAGTCTTCAATTTTCCCATTTCTATTTCCTGCATTACAATATAACAGGAAAATATATGTTCCTGTCGCAGTAAAATAATGAAATAAAAATTAATAAGGCTAAATGTTCTGTTCTTTGATTGATAAAAAAAAATTTTAAGTAAAAAAAAAGCTCACATTTTCCAGAAAATTCGTTGATGAAATTAGTTTCACCTTGACATCTAATTCTTGCCTTGTTAATTGATTATCAGATGCAGCTAATACTGCAGCCACTGCAATAACAGATGGTCTATGCTCCAACAAATTAATCTCTGCAAAATATGAAATAAAAAATTAGAAATGAAAAATCCAATCTTCACAGAAAATCAATAATAGAATTGGGCAGAGAACAATGTGTCCACTCACCCTTTATAACTGCAAGAATAAGTTCCACAGCTCTGGAGATTGTTTCCTTTGGTCTAGATTCACCACAGATTTTAGAAATGAAATAATTAAGATAAGAAAATGGAGTAATTGAACCCATTTTCCACTCTAAGGTATTCAATACCAGCAACTCCATTCTTTGAATCACCTTATTTTCAAAGCAATAATCTTCCATTGGAAATTCTGATAATGATGGAACTCTACACTCCTCCATTTTTGCTGCTAATGACAAACAAGCCACAGATAGCAACCGAATAGCCCATAATTTCCCATCCTAAAAACCAGAAATCAAAATATTAATAAACTACCCCATTATCAAAAAACGATAAAAATTAAGTGAATTTAATTGCTTACATCAATCGATCTTTTCGATAGAAACCGGTCTAAATAAGTCACTGAAAGATAAGCTGTGTGGAATCGGAATCCGAAAAGTGCTCGTGTCTAAATCAAATAAAACAGAAAAAAAAAAAAAAAACTTTCAAAACAGAAAACAGAAAAAAGAAAAACAGAGAAAAAACAGAGAAAAGAATTACAGACATTGAAAATCCAATCAATAGCATCCAGTCGAGCAAATCGTAACCAATTAGAATCGTTAGTGGTGGTGCTTAAGGAATCAGCAGAGGGCATTACATAACTATTGGCAGATCCTAATAAACCCATTTCTTTTTCGAACATTTTCTCAATATATTCAATGTCTTCACTCTCTAAAACCAAACATGACTCAAAATTGTTATTTGCATCATAGAAACTATCTTCTTCTACTTCTTCTTCCATTTGATCAAAACAAGAAACTTCATTTTCTAAACACAAGAGACTAGAGAAAGACAAAGAAGAAGCGTCAAAGTCATCCATAGTTGGTCTACAATAATAACGCGATGTAGAACATGGGTATTTGTAGGGTTTTTAAAAAACCGAAGAGGAAATCTAAGGAGGGAAAGATTGGAATCTGGCGGTTGAGTGAGTGTAAGAGAGAGATATGGAGGGAAAGAGTGGAGGGTAGCGGTTTTGGTGCCGCCAAAATTAGCGGATGAGATATAGAGACTAGAGAGGAGTTATTTAGCGGTTACCTACAATTTGTATTTTGTAAAGCTAGAAAACCCGTAATACGCCTAATCACTCTCTTAATCCTGTTTAAGGGTGTAGTTTTTATTTTTATTTTTTATTTTTTTTAAGCTACATCACTATAATAATACTATTATTAATCTATTTTATTTTTGGTATTCCTAGATTTTTGACAACCGTACCATGATATGTACTGTCGCAATCGATATAGGTCTCATTAATTTTATGTTTTTCATTTTTAATAAATCATAAATTTAAAAAAAAAATCAAAGTTTTAATGTTTAATCTTTTGAATTATTGATGTAATATTTGTTTAATATTAATTTTGATAGGAGCAACCCCTTTTTGTTTCTGAACTTTTTTCATCTAAATGTCCACTGCAATTAAAGATGAATAAGATTGATTAGATTAATTAAATTATTGATTAATAATTTCCTTTCATTAAAAATAAAAGATTATGATATAAATATGTATTTTCAAGAGACCAACTCTTGCACTGACAGGCAAGTATTTTCATTTATCCTTATTTAAAACTTGCAAAATACAAACTTAAAATAATGGGATTAAAAGATAAATACATAGAGTTTCTTTCTTCCTATTTTCTTTATAGTTTATCTAACACTGACTTTGTTTGGGGCTGCCGTTATTAATCAGCGGTTTTCCCCTTTTTTTTGTTTCTTCTTGCTCCTAATTTTTTATTCATTTTTAATAAATTCATATCCATTTTCTTTTATTTAATCTGTTTTTTCTTTATTTTTTTGCTATTGTTGCTTTGTCTCTATATTTGGAGTTTTTTTGTCCTTTCTTCCGTGAGGGCTTAGTTCCTTTTTTATAAAAGTTTATTCTTAAAATATATGATATTTGATTTTATTTAGTTAGAGAATTTAGATCTTGATTTACCGATTTGTATTTTCGATTAATAGAGTCTGGTAGTGCGGTCTGTTCCTCCATTGATGCTATTAACGCATAGTGGCTTGAACTCATCCGTGTACGTCATACGCAATAAGTTTTTGGAAAAACAATCCAAGCATAGAAGATCCAGAGAAGTTATTTTGTTGTCCAAATCAATTAAAGGACCAGTTGCTACTATGAAGATTTATATCGGTTAACATTATCTTCAAGTGAAAAAATTTAATATTGTTTCTTTTAGTTTTAATTTTATTATTCAAAAGAATATAAACAATTATTTTGTTGTTGAATAATCAGCGAACTTTCTATTAATTATAATAGTAAGTTCTATGCTCTGGTCTAATTGAGGATTTGTAACATTTGATTTTATTATTAATGAACTATATTTCTCAAAAAAATAATGGAATTAAACTAGGAAATTTGTTTGTAATAACTTGTTATTTCCCCTAATGAGTTGACCAAATTATTGATGACTCTCTATGTCTTTTTATGTTACACACGAAGACAATTGAATTTTTGAAATTCCCTCATTTTTTCCTCCTTTTAAAAAAGAAAGGTTAGCTCTTTTTTTAAAAAAAGAAACAAAAAAAGAAGAAGAAGAAAGGTTAGTTAGGATAAAAATGGTGAAAATTCAATTTTTTTTTTCTCTAAATTTTTTATAGGTACTTGTTTCTAAGATTATTTTATATTATAACTAACTAGTATAAGAGATTGCTTAATACAATATTATTCTCTCTTTTTTACAATGGAAAAAACACTACAATTTTTTTATGTCTTTTTTTTATTTTTATTATATCTTAAATGTACATCTATATATATTGTTTTAGAAATTTTAATTCTCAAAAAAAAAAAATCATCAAATAATTCAATCACTAATTTATTAGAAGCTAAGCAAGAGAGAAAGTATTTCTTTCCACCATTTCTTAGAAAATATCTCTTTTCTTGCCTCATGGTGGCCCTAAAAGCACTAAAGGAGGATTGGTAGGTCAACTGGGACTTCATCAAAGAGAAATTTAGCTATAGGTTTTGTTGAAGTTGGGGATCTCCAAAGAGTGTATCTAATTATACTAATAAAGGATAGCAAATGAAGGAGAAAAAAAATATATGAAAGTCAAGTTTAAGAATCAGAATGAGTCAAAAAAAAAAAAAAAAAAAAAAAAAAAAGATTGAGAGGAGAAGAGAAGAAGATATATGATAAGGTCAAGTTAAGAATCAGATGATGAGTCAGAAAAAAAAAAAAAAAAAAAAAAGAAAAACATTAAGGTTTTTTTTTTAAGAGATTGGCGAGTTGCGAAATTTAAGGAGTCGATACCTGGAAGATTATGAGCTCGTGTCGACAATGCTTGATTATTAGGCTTATGGGGTGGTTAATAGCTCGTTAGAGCCGTTAGTAATTAGCTGATTGAAGTTAAAATAAGCAAAAATGAGAGAGGATTAAGCATAAAGAACGGAGCTGAGGGGGATGGGGTGGAAAAGCACTGTCTTAGTCAGCTAAAAAGTATTAGTATATAATTTAGCCAACAGTATTTTAGATATTGGCAAAGAAAAAAAAAAAAAAAAAAAAAAAAAACATTAAGGTTTTTTTTTTAAGAGATTGGCCTAAGTTGCAAAATTTAAGATCAATACCTGAGATTATGAGCTCGTTCGACAATACTTATTATTAGCTATTTTAATAGTCGTAAGCCGTTAGATATTAGCTATTGAATTTAAAATAACAAAAAAAGAAGTCAATTGACATAATAAACACTAGATGGGTGTGAAAACACTGTCTTATCCACTAAAAATTATTTTATATAATAATTTAGCCAACAATTTAGATCATTTGCAAAAGCGTTATAGTGGCTGTATATGTTAATTAAAGACTTCCTCACACTTTTTTTTTTTTTTTAAAGGTTTGTACCATATAGTCACGTTTGGGTCGAAGTGGTATTTTCACACAATATTTATTATAAGTCAAAAAAGACATCATAATTTTTCATTTAGGGCTTATTTGATTTAATGGAGGTAGTTAATTATTAATAATTACTAGTGATTAGCCGTTGAAAATCAAGAATCATCAATTATTTATTTTTTTTTAGAAATGGGATTCAAACTTGAATCGTACATATAATTATCACTAGGCTATATTTTAACCTGGCTTCAATTAATAATACTTAATTACTAGTAATTTTCAATTAAATATTTACCCTATTTTAACTGTTTAAAAGTTACTATAGGGAAAGTTGATCAAGAAAGAACTAGATAGCAAGTACTCATTGAAGCCCTAATTATTTCTTTTATACCCTTTAGAATTTTTCCATTTTTTTTTTCTGTAACAATAAATCAATAACAGAGGAATAAAACAAATAGGTCAATCTACCACATTATACAGGCATGAACAATAAACAAATTAACAAATCGTGAATGATTATTTTTAAAAGAAAAAAAAATTAAGGAATGATGATTCAAACTTTGATAAAATGGTGCAACTTTTTTGCTCTTTTATACATTTTGATAAGGATAATTACTTTTGATTAAGCACTCAGCTGCTGCCATTTAGACCTTCTGGGGCACCTAGGATTTTGTGAATCAATCTATCTTTATTAACTCATTAGACTCCACTTTAAGGTGTTCCCAGCTTATTACAAAATTGAATTATTGTTAAACCAAACTTATTTATTTTAAAAAAAAAAAATAGTAATAATATGATATCACAAGTTATTTTTAAAATGATAGTTACTAAATTTATTTTCTTAATTTAGTTAAAAAGTAAGCTATGCAAATCAAAACTAAAGAATAATAATAAAACATAAAATTCTTTATTTATAATCCGATCAACGTACGTGGATTTTTTTTTTTCTTTAAGGAGGATTTATATTATTTTAGTTATTACTAAATAATAATCATGTCAATTATAACTGAATAATATCGGTAAAATCAACTGAATTGGACTAAATTGATCTATTTAATTCAATTCAATCCATTTTTTATATAAAAAATTTAGTTTTATTTAATTTACATTGATTAATTCTATTCAATTTAGATCAAATCAATCGAATGTCTAATTAGTTTGAGTAATGTACTTTCTCCATTCTTAAATACTTGTTTCATTTGAAATTTTACGTCCCTTAAGAAAATCATTAAATTATTTCTAAATTATAATAAATTATTGAGTAAATTAACTATATTACCCTTAATTTAACATATTCAAATATAAAATTTTTGAGAAATTGAAACAATCATCGTTGATCATATACAAAGAATAAACATAAATAGAAAATTATTACTCCTGAAAACCACAAATGTTTGAAACATAGTATTTTCTCATGCATTGCTAATAATAATTAAAGTAGATTCATTAAATGGGCTAAAACTTGTGGTCTTTAAGTATTTGTTAAAAACAATATGCATGAAAATAAAAATTGGACACAAGATCCAACATCTAGACTTTCATTAATTCTATAAATATATAAACCTAATTGTGGAATGGTATCTTATTGGAGTCCTTAATGGTCAGATAAGAATATTTATGCCCTGAAACAAATTAAATATAGTTTTTATGAATTTAAATACACAGAACGTGTTCTCATTTCTCAGTCCTTTAATGCCCTCTCCTGCCCCTTTTAATTTTTCTTTTTTCCTTTTTGGTGTTAAACAAGAAGAATCATTATGTCTTGTAGATAGTTGATCAAATAATGTTGACTTTAACAATGTACTACTCAAATTAAGTTGTTCATCTTTGATTCGGTTGTTATTTTCTATTGATTTTTTTGACAACAGATTTCCGGTCTGTTCAGTTATACTACTTGTTTTAGTAGCTACTACCTATTGTAATAATTGTTAGTTGTTCTATTAGTTATTAGTTGTTAGCTATTAGCTTTTCTGTTCAATAAAATTAGCTGTTTTGGTAGCTATTAGTTGTTTTAGTAGCTGTTAGCTGTTTGAATAATTTTTCATAAAATATTAAAAGCTAAATGTTACACGGGTTAACTTTTTATAAAATATCACATTAACCTCTAAAAGTTAATTCAACGCTATATTACCGAACACTATAAAAAATAAAGTTTAGCGTGTTTAAAAAATGGATATAAAAGTTAAAAAATTAATTAATTAATTTGAAACGTTAAAAGTCAAAGTGTTTAATATTTCATAAAGTCAAAACCCTAAAAGTTAACTGAGAAGATGACGGTGAATAGCTATTGATTTTCTAGCTATAGTCACAAACAGACTTTAATTAAGGATTTGCTCCGTTCGCAAATTAATTCTTTTAGCGTGTTATTAGTTAGACCTAATTTAATTATATTTGATTTTTAAATTTCATAATTTTAATATTTATGTCTTTTTAATACTCAGAATTAACATTGTTAGGTCATAAATATAAAGAAGAAATCCAACTAATGTTGTTATTCATTATAAAATGCATACAAAGAAATGAATCTCTGGTCCCTCAAACAGTTAGCTAAGGACCTTTTTTGGATCACCTAGTCTCCACAAACCCCTCCTTTCTCTGAGCTTAATACGGTCGCGTATGTTGCTGTTGGGAAGGCTAATTCGAGACATTGCTCGCAATGAGGTTCAAAATTTTGTACCGAAGATTGGTACATTTATTTTCTAATAATGAATTTATGGGTAGTTGTAGAAAGATTGGAGATGGCTAAGTCTTCGGGTATTCAAAACCTTCTTGTTCAGTCTTTGAATGCGGTTCTGCAACTTGTTTTAGCTATTAAGACTCTTCTTCAAGTGTTTCTGAGCTGCCAATTTTGGAGCATATTTATAGAAAGACCAATTTTCGGAGCAAACTTTATTTCAAAAATTATTAGCAATTATCCTCTGCGGACTCATTTTCTCATTCATTCGCTGCCAAAAATGCTTTCTTGGCTAGCGCATGATTTGTGGGTAACATTCAAAAAAATGAACTCCATAGCAAATGAAATATATATGTATATACACACACATTTATAGATACAATTGGTGAATGAAATGCAAGTTAGCAACTAAGTAGTGTAACAGTAAGACTAATACAGCAGTTGACTATAAAAAATAAAAAGACATACCTATTTGTTGTAAGATAAGCTGAAAATGATAACTAGAAGATGATGATGATGATGATGATTATTAATGAAATTGACTTCACGCTCTAAAGTTTTGATTTCGATATGGATATTCTATTGGACATTACAATTAGAGCAAATCCTTTGTTAATTTATACTACAAATGTATTTTTGGACCCACAAAAAAAAAAAAAGAAAAATTTAAATGAAAAATATTGGGGAGGGAACGAGAGGAGCGGAGGGTCCGAAAACATAAAAGCCAAAGAAAGTATATTGATGATGGTGGTGATATCACACGTGACTATAATTGCAGGCAGGAGCGTCTTCACGTGTGAAAGCCTGGACCACTCCAGCCAGTCTGTTTTCCTTTTATTTATTTATTTATTTATTTTTATATATAATGGAGAAGAGAAGAAGAGACGCTCCTGCTCTATCCAAAGTTGCCCACTAACGCCCCCACAACCTCAACACACGCGCACACACACACACGATTAAATAAATACCTTATAAAATTAAATAATGAGAAAAAAAAAATATTATGTATATTGGTAAATAATAACTTAGGCTTTTAAATTTGATCATAGTTATAAATTGATGATCTATGTACCAAATCTATTAAAAATAAATTTTAATTGTACCTATTTTATCATTTATTGGAGAAAAAATATAAAATAATAGTAATAATATTTTAAAGAACTTTTATAAATTTACTTAGTGTCCTTTTATCAAAATTAGCTGTTTTAATAACTGTCTTAATAGTTAATAATTATTTAATTAATATTTTATTAAACATTAAAAGAAGTAATGACATTTTATAATCTGCTCTGTCAAACTCTAAATGCTCCTACAACGCTGCATCACCAAATAATCTAAATAATAGAAATGATACTTTGCCCCTAATCAAAACGCTAAATGAATATTTAAAAAACGGTGGTGAAATAGGGTTTAGTGTATGTAACTACCCCATACTTTATTTATTTATTTATTTATTTTTATATATAATGGAGAAGAGAAGAAGAGACGCTCCTGCTCTATCCAAAGTTGCCCACTAACGCCCCCACAACCTCAACACACGCGCACACACACACACGATTAAATAAATACCTTATAAAATTAAATAATGAGAAAAAAAAAATATTATGTATATTGGTAAATAATAACTTAGGCTTTTAAATTTGATCATAGTTATAAATTGATGATCTATGTACCAAATCTATTAAAAATAAATTTTAATTGTACCTATTTTATCATTTATTGGAGAAAAAATATAAAATAATAGTAATAATATTTTAAAGAACTTTTATAAATTTACTTAGTGTCCTTTTATCAAAATTAGCTGTTTTAATAACTGTCTTAATAGTTAATAATTATTTAATTAATATTTTATTAAACATTAAAAGAAGTAATGACATTTTATAATCTGCTCTGTCAAACTCTAAATGCTCCTACAACGCTGCATCACCAAATAATCTAAATAATAGAAATGATACTTTGCCCCTAATCAAAACGCTAAATGAATATTTAAAAAACGGTGGTGAAATAGGGTTTAGTGTATGTAACTACCCCATACGCTGGCAAATGTTATCCATAAATTAATACTGTAGAAGAAACCTAACTTAGGTGTTAGTGCAATTGGACTTAGAACCTTTGACTCTGAATATGCTAAAACCAAGATGGTCAATAGCTTTGACTATGTTGGTGTGTGATTTGATCAGACTGTATTATGGATTGCATACAACTGCTCAAAGCCAGGCTTGTTGCCAAAATCATGCTTCCAAACCTTTATTATTATTATTTTCTTTGAGATTTTGGCTTATTTGTTCCATGTGATTAGGACTTCTTCTTCTAAAAATTTCCTTGCTTTCTTTATCTTGATTTGATATATATATATATATATATATATATCATTTCTTTTATGACTTACACTTCTTCTTTATATAGAGAGTTTTTGTTAAGAAAATTGACCTATCTCCAATTTGATTAAGTTTTGATTCATTAATGAAAAATATTCATTCTAATTTTACTACATTTACTTGTCAAATTTGACAATAATACTAAATATAAAAATTATTGTATGTTAATACATAATGTAATTTCAAAATTAAAATTTTAATGAATAAGTCAAGGGCAATACTATTATAAACTAAACTAACTCTTGAATTTGAACTTGGAGAGTTGAAAATCAAGCTAAAGGTGCGCCATGTGTATATATATAATTAAATAATATAATTATATATATAATTCATTTTTTTTAAAGTTGAAACACGAATAGTTACGACTAATTACAAAAATAGTCGTGTCGTGTCTATTCATGAATAATCATGTACGATATCACATTTGTTCACAAAGAATTATGTTTGGTCACAAACATTCATGTCTATATGATTTAACTTCTTTTCCTTGTTTACAAATACATAAGAAAATGTCTCTTCACAAATACTTGCGTCTATTCACAAATATTCAAATTTGCATTCATAATTATCATTTAACTTATTTTCCTTCCTTAAAAATCATAAAAAAAATGTTAAATAAATTATTTCACTGTTTTTCTCTTCCTAATCTTGCAATTTTGAAGCCTTTATTAATATTGAGAGTTATATATAAACATGCAGCAATTTAATATTATAAAGATAGTAATTTTTCTATGCTTTAAATTTCAGACAATATCCATTGTCATTACAGTATGCGTGCATATAAAATCAACAAAACCGTCATATGTAGATTGGAATTATCCAACAATTGAAATTAATGAAAATGATTTACATTTCCAATAATTGTCATTTAACTTACTTTTCTAATTTTGTTCCTAAATTGAAAATTTAATTAAGTTTAGGAATAGGCATTTTTTGGTAGGGCCGTCAGGAGGGACAAGTAAGATGATTGAAATTGAAGTAGCAGTTGTACTCCTGCTCCTGCTCCTGCTCCTGCCTACTCTCCAAGTGCCTTTTTCTTCATTCACTTTTTGAATTTGGTATAGCTTACTTATAGCATCATCATGAGTAGCTTACTTATGGTTACGGTAGCTCCAATGCAGCCTGATGTCGCATTGTGGTTGGCTATCATGTCGTTTCAATGCATTCAACCTCTCCACTCTCCACCTCTTTTCTTTCACACTACTTTATTTTGCAAAAGCTATATATACACACATACGCACACCCATTTTTTGCTCTAACTTGATATAAAATTCACCTGTGTTATAATTTATTGATAGGCGAAATTCCCATTTTCAACTCCGATTATTTTTTAAGTTCTGTAAGTAAATTGTATATGCTTCAATCAAAAAATTTGTAATTTAATGACATAAATAAAAAAAAAATTTCTAATTGGTGCTAGAGAATTACTTTATCTAATCTGGTCTATGGATCCATCCATGAACCAAATTAATAAAAAAAAAACTATAGCAATCACACCCATGGTCTACTCTTGAGTCCATAAATCGGGTTTAGATAAATTTAATATAGGTGCTATTGCTATATAATTCATTCCAAGCTTATATATATTGTAGTTTTGTTTGTTAAGCAGTAGTGCTGGTGTTTTTTGGCGGGCATGAAAGCCCATGACAGTTTAGGTTAGGATGTCCATTCTATGCTAGATTTTTTGAGCCCAAGAGCTTATCATGTAAGAGAAGCTGTGGATTCACTTCACTATATAAGCAAGAGGGAAAATGTATCATGAATTAGAAGTTCTGGAGAAAGTGGATGTGGATGGTCAAAATGACCTTGCCTGTATAGAAATTTAATTACCTTGTTCATATGTAACATTTCTATAACTCTCTCTTGGTTTCCCCTCACAAAAAAATAAAAAAAAATAAAAAAATAAATCTCTTGGTTTAATCGAACAAAATCATTTAACTTGCCTAAATAAGAAAATTTAACATTTCTATAACTATTTTTCTGAAAATCTGTTTTCCTGGAAAAATAATTTTTTTTTTTTTTTTTTTTTTAAATTGTGGGACCAGGGGAGAGGAAGGCGGACTTATATGCATTGGTTTCGCAACTCGCAACTAAGCTAATTAATTAAAGGCTACATGAAGTCCTTGTGAATGGCAGTTGTAAACTGTAATTCCTAACTTCTGAAATTCCATGGAAATAATCTGCTGCCTAACTTTGTTAGCTGGCTATATTCAAAGGCTATATTTATGTTGTTATTTTAACAAAGTACATGAAAAATGACTGATCATCTAAACAAAATTTTGTTTTTCAGTACCTATATATATATATACTCTTTGTTTTAGATGTGGTGTCACATTTAAAATACAAGTAATGGTTTGTGATGTCTCAAAGTATTTTTGGTACCACCTTCCTTCCTATATTCTTTGTCTAATGTTTTCTCAATCGAATGGATGAGTGAAAGTAAATTTTATTTTTTCAGTAAATTTTTCCAGCAATGTTAGAAATTTAAGTGATAAACTAAATTAATTGATTTCAAGTACTTCCTCAGTATTAAAAAGAATATATATCTTTTTAGAGTGATTATTTTTTCAAAATATAAAATATTTTGAACATTTTAAAAAGTAATGAATAATTATTTTCAATTTTATCATCATTTATATTAAATAAAATAATTATCTTCGTATATTTTCTTTTGTTTTGAGATAAAAAGTAAATTAAAAATTAATTTCGATTTTATCATAATGTAAGAAAATTAGCGTATAAAAACCACCAATTATATTTTTATTTTGAGAAGATGGAAATACTAAAAGCGCGGGAAGAGCGCGTGACCAAATAGATTAAAGACACGAACGACAGTTACGAGAGTTGGTGAGTAAAGTTGAAGGCCTTAAGCGCACATCAATTAATGGCCCTCCGTCTTCCGATCTGATAGTTACAATTATGACTGACAGTTAAGGTTACCTTCAAATTCACTTCCTTTATAACAACGACTTGTTCGACAGATATCTGTTCAACTCGCCTTTTTTTTTTTTTTTTTTTTTTTTCATTTTCACTGGAAAGGAAAATCAAAAATGGATGCCAAATGTGACAAACCTTCTTTAGTAGCATTTCCACCGCCGTTGCCTTCTCCGGCGACTAGTATTTATCATAGAAGGCACAACATATTACTAGGACATAGCTGTGTTCCTACAAGAACGAAGGATACATGGGAACGTCTATTTAGTGAAGGCTATAGAACAGATCTTACGATTAAAACCGATCGCGGTGGCTCGGTCTATGCACATGCCAATATTCTTGTAAATACTCAATAAATCAGTATAATTATAATTAATTAACGAGATTTTCTGTTTCATTAGGTTAATTCAGCTTGTTTCGTTTCCAATTACAGGGAATGGCTTCTCCGGTAATGAGAGGTATGCTAAAGCAATCGAAACGCCGCGGTAGACCAAGATCGATATCAATTCGAGGTGTTCCTCATAACGCTGTTCGAGTATTTGTTAGATTCTTATATTGTTCAAGGTACAAATTAATTTCTTCTCCTCCACTGTTGTAGTTCGATATCATCATCACACCCTAATTAAGTGATTTATAATTTTGCGCAGTTATGAGAAAGAAGAAATGGAAGAGTCTGTGTTACATTTGCTGGTGTTATCACATGTGTTTGTGATTCCAGAACTGAAAAAGATATGCGTGCAAAGATTAGAGCAAGGTTTCCTTACCTTCGAAAATGTAGTTGACGTATTTCAGCTTTCATTACTATGCGACGCTCCGCGGCTAAGCCTAGTTTGTCACCGTATGATTTTAATCAACTTTGAGGAAATTTCCCGGACAGAAGGGTGGAGAGCGATGAAGCGGAGCCACCCTCTGCTGGAAAAAGAAATCCTCGAATCTATGGTTGATGAACAAAATGTAAGATTTTTTGTTTTCTTGTACTTGAAGAAGTTGTTAATTTGGATTAATTACAATTATGCATTGGATTTGAATTTTGCAGAGACAGAAAGAGAGGATAAGGAAATTGAAAGAAAGAAAGATGTATTTACAACTGTATGAGGCAATGGAGGCTCTTGTTCATATATGTAGAGATGGATGTAGGACAATTGGACCGCATGATAAAGATTTTAGAGAAAACCAAGAACCTTGCAATTATTCAACCTGTAAAGGATTAGAGTTGCTTGTTCGCCATTTCGCCGGCTGCAAGTTGAGAGTACCCGGTGGTTGCGTACATTGCAAGAGAATGTGGCAGCTACTAGAGCTTCACTCCCGGCTTTGCGCTGATTCGGAATTGTGCAGAGTTCCTCTTTGCCAGTATGACTCGAAACATTTTTTTTGGAGTTTCAAAAACTCAATCATTTCATATGACTAATAATCCGGACAAGGTGTTAAATTGTGGATGATTTTAAATTTTGTGGTTGCAGGAATTTCAAGATGAGGATCAAGAAACAAAGCAAGAAAGATGAGATTAAATGGAGAATTCTAGTGAAAAAGATACTAAGAACAAAAAGAATTGGAGGGTCAGGGCCACCATTCTTTTCCTTGGCAATTTCTTCTTGATAAAAAACATTATTAAGTGTAAATTTGTTGTAGAAAACATATAGAGAGAAATGTTGCCCCTTTCTGCCTAGTGTAAAATCAATGAATTAGTGGAATCGCTTCCCTGTCATTTTTTGATTTTATCCCTTTGCCAACTTCATCTCGACGTTCCATTACAATTTTGACCTTAATTTACATTTTCTTTTTCATATTAACCATAAATCAATTGTCTTTATTAAAAAGAATCCATACACAATATACTAAATATACCAAGAATTCTACTACCGTTGATTGGAATGGAGTGGTTGGGACTCATTTTTCCTTCGAGTTTGACTCTTCTTTTTATGAACCGCAGGATATAATCGAGACCCAGTGAGCTTTTAGACACCAGGTGCTTATAAAAAAAAATCCTTCTAATTTAGGTTTTGTTTATATCCATATCTGTTTTGTTTTTAGCTTCCCTCTGTTACCAAAAAAAAAAAAAAAAAAGTTTAAAATGAAAAAACATGCTGACAAGACTAAAATATTGGTAATACTAATAAAAATATTGAGATAAATCACTACTCCTTCCACCGACAATCACTCCATCTTTTTGAAAGTTCTTGGTAAAGTAACTCATATATAATTAGGGTCATCAAAATACATAATTATATGAATATATACCAAAACCTGCGGGCCACATTTTTTTCAACAAGAATAATACGAAATAGTGTAGGTTGATATGTTGATGATGTCTTTTTTCTGATTAACAATACGAACCATATTTTTTGTATCAGGGAATATTAGTTTCATTTCATACATATAATGGTTAAGATGATTTGCTAAATAGGGTATTGATTACTCACCTAATTATTGGATGTAAAATAAGATTTGTTTATAAATTATTAAATGTGGGTTAACTATATTGGTTTCTATAAAATTTAATTTTTGAAAGAAAAGTGCATATAAAAATATCAAATTAAATGATATTCATCAAATTATATGGAATTCATTTATATCAAATATATAGCCTAAATAACAGTCTAAATAGTTTAAGTTCTTCAACAATGAATCTAATTTGATACTTATAATATTCCAACATGAGTGCATGTTCAAACTTTGGCTGAGTCTAATAATCAATAAAATAATTATTTTAAATAGTAGTAGTAGTAATAATAATAATTAAGAAAAAATGAGTTAAATAAAAAATGCAACTTCCTCTTGATCGCGAGGTTAGTAGTAATTTTCTGCTTTTTCAAACTCTCACTTCCTACTTCTTTAGGTAGAAAAAGTCAAAAGAAAAAAAGAAAAAATCAGCAGCTATAAACGGGTCTATGAAAATATTTCTTTACCTTTCATTTGACATCTAAATCTAATTTTTAATTTTCCAAACATGATGTTACAAAATTGTCTTCTCATCCCCTCCCCTCCCCTCCCCTCCCCTCCCTTACAATCTCTCTTCCGCTTCAGCCCTTTTAGCCATGCATAGGTGTTAGCAAAGAAATGCGCGCCATGGGGAGAAAAGTCGAAAACAACCTTCTCCAGCAAATATGATGGATTTGGGACAAAACACAAATGCTTGTTCAGTTCAAGTTCAGACAATTGCAATGGCAATGGGCAGAGGAATCTCTTCCGTTAGTACTCAAACAGCAGAACATTAACCAGACCATCGGTTGAAGCTTTTTAGCTCTCGTCTCCACACAGGCGATTCCATAAAATCAGGAAATCAGGTATGTTAAAAGAGAGATTTTAGTTGAAGCACCAAGAAAAACTGCTAGTTATTATTTATCAGTAAATATTGAATAAATGCAAATAGGAGTAATGCAAGTAATTATCATAACATCCGTCCTTGAAAATGTATTAGAATCTGCTCTAAAGGTTTAGTAGACAACACAAGCCTTTCATTTTTCTTCTGCCTGATAAAAAAACCAATTTTGTAATTCCATATTCTTCCTTGATTTGGATAAATCCTTCCCAAAATTTTCTGTTCTTTATCATACAATACATTTGGTCTGTGAATGGCTTATATCTAAATAATTCTCCTTCTGTGGCGAACTAATATCTGAACTGGGATTTTTGTTGACAAATGAAAGACCATTTCTGAATCTCTCTTTCTTCACCATCATCCTACTTTTCCACATGCTTGTAATTAATTAAAAATAATAATAATAAAAGAGATATACCATGCTGCTGCTACTGCTGCTTCAGTTTGAAATGAATGTTATAACCATTTGAAATATCGGACAAATTCCATTTGTTTTCCTAAAGGTTCATGTATTTGATATAAACATGGTTTCAAGGAGAAGAGCTTTCCTCATCTGAACTTCTATCTTGTCTCATATTGTATCTGTTGAGAACTGGTAGAGAAGCGGTTGCAGATATTCGGAACGATCTAGCAGAGCCCACCATTGTTCTATCCTGCATCTTTCCCACTTCTTTGCATACATGGTCCAATATATTTAGGAAATCTCTTACAATCATGAAAATCCTGAAAGGGTGGGCTTCCTCTTTTGCTGTATCCCCATGAAAATATTCTGTGGCCTCTTTCACAAGTGATAAAGCGTTTCTTTCATCAGCCTTGATTCTAGCAATTTCCTCTTCCGCCTCTCTTAGGAACAGTTTCATTGAGTTGAAAAATTTCCCTTGCATATCTGGTTTCTCATATTGCAAAACTGATCTGACTTTCTCAAGCCCCAGTTCGAGTTTTGAGACATAGCTGCTTAAGACATCAGAATCCATTCCTGCTGCCTTCCTGACATTGCTGAGGTCTCTACTCAGCCCAGACACAACCTGCAATCCTTGTTTCCTGAAATCCTCCTCCCTGAACTTGGAGTTTGTACTATCTTGAGGATTCTCATTTGTAGAATCAGTACTTGCACCTTCAGATCTAATGATTTCTTGGACCACAAAGTGTAGCAATGTTGTTTTCCCATCTGTTCCTTTTATATCTACAAGTTTTAAGAGTGTATCAAGTTTGAATGCTTTAGCATCGCCACGATTGGTGCCAACATTCATTCGGTTCCCTGTTCTCAGAACAGCTTCGAGAAGTTTTAGGAATAATCGGCTATTCTTTAGTTCCTCACTTGCTGCCTGATATATGCAAAGAAGTTAGCATTAAGTTTGAGATTCAGTGTTGGCAGAATTTTAAAGATGAGGGATGTTTTATAATAGTTCTTGAGAAAAGGGTTAATCTTATTGGCATGGTTTTAGCTAATTTACCTCTAAGGTTTGAAAAGATTTCCTCAAATATTTAACTTCTGTATCAAAATTGGCTCTGTATAGCATGGCTTCAACTCTCCTAAAGGCAAATGGAATATCAAGAACTGCCTTGAGAAATCGTTCTGCAGATCCTAGTTTGGAGGTTTCACCATTGTATTGTCGAAGTTTGATTTCTTCCTCTTTGGTTGGAGCCATCTTTACCAGAGTTTCCAAAAGCTCAGCACCCAAGCTTTCTGGGTTACCTGTTACAACCAAACACATATTGCATGTGATATTAGCACACTGAAAACATAGGTTCCAACAGGATAATTAGCAATATTAAACGTTCTAGCATGCATATGTGTCTGCAGATTCATTCTGTTGAATTAAATTCTTAGTCTCAAGTTATATAGGCACAAACTTTTCTATAGTTCTGCTGTCCTCATATAAAGAACAGAAGAAAAAATCTTTAAGAGAAAAATGTCACAATAAATATACACAGATAAAAGAGCCAACTGGCTTGATATGCTAGTTTAATTACTTCTTATTGAAATTTGAGATTGAGCTTTATTAACTACAGTTTACCAAAGATTTTGTAGTGAGAAAAAAGTATCATCATCCCAGGTTCAGTTATGAGTCTGAATTGAAATAGCAGAGGGAGTTGTCTTCTCATTTTGTTGTCCCCAAACCCCAATGTGCCTGCACAGTAGCACCAAAGCCAGGAAAGAGGAAAATCCAACTGATAACCGTGTCATGTGAAGAGATAGGATTTCCCCATTCATACAACCAAGCTACATATAGAAGGCTGAAATATGAACATTGCATCTGTCTCTTCGGAGATTCATCCCTAAAATAATGTATTTACTACAGGTTTGAGAAATCAGGGAAGTACCATATTAATTGCACAGCTTTTTGATCATGTGTGAAATGTAATAGTTATTAGTTACTGTTGTCATGACCAATTTCAGCATGCACCGTCGTTTTCTTATTTATGAAGAATGAAGATACTCCATTTTAGTGTTAGGTTATTCTGAGGGGCAGCATGTACTTTTGTTTCTTCTATAGCTGTAAGGGCAGTCATTGGCAATTAGGAATGATATGTCTAGCTTCTCTAACTTTTGATCAACATTTATGGAATTCTTTTCAGAGATATGAAGTTGGCTGAAGCGTCAATCTCATGCTCACACAAAGAAGCTGGAAAGTAAAATTCAGTTGACAGAAAATAAGGTGCTGGATGCTTAGAACTTAGTTCTTTAAAATGCTTCCCTATTTGGTTTTCAATTGAGAAGGACAAAGGATAGAAAGTTAAAAGAAAACCCAACATCGGTGGAATTTGGAGGGAAAGGAATCTTTAAGCAAAAATAAGATAAAACTTCTTCACGAAATTTGGTATAGTTTCTACAATTACTTTTTCATAGCTTAGTCTACATAAATAAACTAAGGAAATTCGGCAAAAGCTTCCATTTTTTCCCTCTTCCCCCTCTCGTTTCCCTGAATTTTTATTCACTTCTTATCCCCGTCAAATTGAAACCATTACGATTGCAAATATAATTTGATTGCAGTGCAAACAGTTTAGGCAAATTAAGGCTCTTCAAACTTGGACCAAGTAATCTTTTTTAAAGTAAAAAACTGATTATAACCATGTGTATCACAGAAAGCCAAAGGGAACTGTGAACTCATGATTAGGAGTGACGAATAGTTAACTAGGAACATAATAACTCAAATGATCTAGAGGATAAGTTTATAATATTTATGTGCAAAAGGATTGGCAACAACTTTATATCTAATTTTGTTCTAGAGTATGCAAGGAACACGTATATTAAAGAGAAGGAAATTTGCAAGCTAAGAATATCATAATGCTGATTATCTTAAGTTTTAAGTAAATTATTGTTTTTTTTTTTTTTTTTTTTGAAGACTTGCCCAACATGTTTCTAGAGCTTTTCACGGTTTTCTTTTTCTAGAACTCTCTTTTCCTATTTTTCTTCTCCAGCAATTATCTTCAAGGAGGCCAAGACGAAGCAATTATCTTCAAGCAAGAATAACAGAATGATTCATGTGGTATAATAGTGTTAAAATCTTTATTTTACTGTCTTAAATTGGTAATGATGATAACTTACATTTTACGCCTTTCAACTATAATTCCTGGTTTCATACCTTGTTCTATCCTTTCCAGTTTTTGGACACTAAAGCTAGAGAAAGTTCATCTTAACAAAAATCTGATTGCGTTTCAGAATTTTGACATTCATCATTTTTGCATTTAGAAACCAATCAGCAGTCGAGGCAAGATGCGGATACACAATTTGGTTATACAGCCTATAGCCATGTAAATAAAAATGTTGACATGATTTTTTAATTGAAAAGGTTCATGAGTTGTCTAATTCACTAGTCCATTTTTAGCAAAAATCTATCATCTGCTTACTATTCTGTGTGTCCCTGTTTCTCCTCTCTCTTAAGTCTCTTCCTATTTTGTTTATGCAAGGGCCCCTCAACCATTGTTCTATTTGATTATTATATTTTCAAAGACGAAAACAAGAAATTTAGATTTGCCATTATTGATTAATACCTTTAGCAATAAGCATGTTATGGAACCTTCAATATTTTAAAATGGATGGATAATTAAATAAGTAACTAATCTGAAAAGAAACAAATCAACCTGCAAAACCTAATAGCTGATTATAGGCTTCAAATAGAAACATTACTCACCATCTAAAAGAGCTTCAGAGACTTCATCTCGGGTCACGTTCAGTGCTCTTAACAAAATAGCAATGTTCTGTGACTTTTTGGGATCTAATACCCTGTTCTCTTGCTCAACAGGAGGCAAAACTGATCTTCTTGTGGGTTCTTTTGGAACTGAATTCGTTGATTTGCAGCCAAAAAGACTTTCCATCATATCCTCATTTAATCTACCAAGAAAATGACATGAATCAAATGACAATAGCAAACTCAGAATTTACTATAAATGGATTAATTTTAAAGTTTTTATTAATATCAAAGTTAAATACTAATTTCACATACTGAAATGAACTGGACTTAAGCTGGTCCCACACTGTGGCTCTGTCTGAGGTAGCCCTCACTTTGTCCCAGTGCAGAGGCTTTAACTTTGGCTTTGCTCCATCTTGCTCCTCTGCATCAACTTTCTCTGATGAACTTATCATCCCTCTTTCTACTTGCTCGGTACTTTTTGGCGTTCTGGTCTTGGACATGGCTCTAGGGCTTGACGTCCACGACTGCTGCTTCGATGATACGGAGCTAGGCGTCGAGGAAACACTCGTTTTAGCTGGTTCCGTGGACCCTCTATGTCTTGGAGTTGTTGTTGCCGGTGGAGGTGGAGGTGGTGGTGGCGGTGGAGGTGGTGGTGGTGCTGGAATTTTATTTGGTTGCTGAACGTTTATTGATCGAAGACGTGCCATATTTGGCGGTGGTGGAGGCGCTGAGAATTTTGGCCTTTTAGAGAAATAAGAATTTGTTGGCTCAATATTCTCAGTTGTATCCTGCTCTACCACTGCTGGAGGTGGTGGAGATGGAGGAGGAATCGGCATGGGCACTGACGGCGGTAATGATTGCTTTATTGACGGAATAATCACGTGCTTCATTTCCGGTGAAGAAATCGAAGAGAACCGCGATTTAGGAGAAGTCCGTTTAGAATGAGGAACAGAATTAACGTTAACAGACTTCCCCCAAGAGTTATTACTAACGGAACGCGGAGCAGAAATTGTCATCGGTGTGTAATAACCGTCCTCGTTGCTAATGGAGGAGCCCTGAGGAGTATAAAACGCAGTGCCGTGGCTCTCTTCATCGGACGATGAAACAGAGGAAGGCGGAGAATTATCGTTCTCATTTTGTGAAGGAGGCCTGGGCAATGGCGGCAAAGGCTGTAAATCGGGGCTAGGCCTATAACGATCAGATCTCTTTACAGAATTTAGCTTTCGATAGGGAGAAACATTGGCTGCTTCATTTGTTGTACCATTCAATTCACCTGATGTTCTACCTGGTTGTACAGTGCCCATATAAAGAACACTAGAAGAAGGAACTATCGATTCATCAGCAAATCTCTGAGAATTGTCTCCGACGAGTTTTTGAGTCTCACTCGGATGTTTAACTCGGTGTCGGTATAAAAAGAATGCGAGACCTGACAACATTCCAAGAGTGACAATCCCAACAGATATTGCAATTGCCACTTTCTTAGCCGGTTTTGCCGGTTGTGTTGCCGTTGGGATTTGTATAGTTCCATTGGCTGGTGATGCTGGTGGCGTTTGACTTTGATCCGGAGTCGCCGGTCCAGTTGGGACCTCAGGGAAGAAAGGCTGGTCTGGAGTAGGAAAAACTTGATTGTCGGAAGGCGGAGGCGGCGGTGGTGAGGACGATGATTCAGAGTCTGGTGGTGGAGCTGAGCTGGCTGGGTATAAAGGCTGGTGGAGGATTCTTCTCAGAGTTTCGGGACAACTAGTGTATCCAATTGATGATGATGATGGCAATATTGTTAATAGAATCAAAAAGAGAGTAAAATGATAATGATGATTATGAATACGAGCTTTCATGGTGAGATTTTCTGGTTTCTTGTTATTTTCTTCTTCTCTTCTTTTTCGTTCCCTAAATTCATCTCTTTCTTTCTCTGTAGTTGTTTTTGCCTGAAAAAATTTTCTTTCTTAGTGCGGTCAAGAGAGAGAAAGAAAGTGGAAAAAAAAATTTTAAAAATAGAGAAAAAAAAAAAAAACAACACACTGTGCTTGTAGGAAGGGAAGCTTCTTTTGGCTGCAAGATCTGGATGCTCTGGATACTGACGTCAGCATTAAGCCGCATTTTTCCTCTTTTTCTTTTTATTACTTTTATTTATTTTATTAAATAATGGATTGAATTTAGCTTTTTTATATTTTTTTCAAGTGAGTTGGGAATGACACGTGGACATTCGGAATCGAACTTTTAGTTTGGTTTTGTTGTTTAGAAATCAATGGACGATAATGGCCATGGAGTGGTAATATTGAAAGGACCACGTACATGGGGTTTTTTGTCTATTAATATTTGTTTTGTTTCTTTTTGTTGGGATCGAGGAGAGAGAAGCAGAGTCACTCGCACATTCCATTAATTCTCTTTTTTCCCTTGGAGACGTTAAAATCCTGTGTCCACCGATTGCTTTTGTCTGAGATATCCTCTACGGTCACGACCATGGAAACCCAACTCTAGACTCAAGAGCATGTTTAGGCTTATAGCGGTTAAATCAGCGGTAGGATTGTAAATCAGCAAAGCCGCTTGAGAGCTGCTAAATTCGAATTAGTAAAAGCTCACTTGACTTTGTTTAATAAGTTGAATCGAGCTATTAACCTCGTTTAATAAACGAGTCAAATTTAAGCTCAGATTATTAGTTTGGGAGTCAATTTTATCAAACTAAACTCTCGAATTAGCTCACGAACTAACTTTATTGAGCTGAATTGAGGTTTAGAGTTTGTCCAATAAGCCAAAATCAATTAAAAATTTACATTATAATAATGTCATTTTGAATTGATAGATTTGGAACTCAAACTCGACTCGTTTATGGTTATCAAGTCGAGCTCAAGTTTAATTATTTTTAAACAAGTCAAGTTCGAGCTTAGATTCAAGTATATTCTTATCGAGCTGAACTCGAGCTCACCAAAGCTCAGTTCGGCTTAGTTTAATTCAGCAGTGAACTCTGTAAATTTTTATAGTGATTGCAAATATATTTATAAGAAATCCATTTTTCATCTATGACATCTACTTATATTCTCTTTATTTTGAGCAAGAAAATCAGGGATGGATTAAAATTAAACATTATAATGAAATATAAAAAATATTAAAATGTCTTTACATTAAAATAGGATTTTTTTTTTTTTATCATTTATCAAGTTTTTATCCCATCCATAGTTTCTACTATTTATAGAAATTTTGATATGTGGTTGCAAATGTTAAATTCAAGCTATTGCATTTTATTTCAACAATCATGATACATCACAACCAATTCTCATTATTAATCTAAAACCAGTGTAACCAATTTTCCCATCAATAAAAGGATTATGATTTTAATCCAAAAAAATCATAATCATTTTAATTGTGATTGTTTTGGATTAACTCATAAATCCACCCAACTTCATAAAATAAGAAAAGTCAAAAATCACCAAATATTAGAATTCGGCGCCTCTTCTATTACTTTTATAGCTATGAATATTTTAATATTTTGTATTATTTTTGAGTAAATTATTAAAATGATTTGTTAGTTGAATTAGACTTAAGCTGAAAATAAAAACAAAATTTGACCCACTCTTCGATAAATGTAATTTTAAAGTTGTGAAGGATCAAAATCTATGTATTTAAAGGAATTTATTCCTTTTTCTTTCTTTAATTTATATTTGAAAAGAAATGTGTGTGTATTTGCTCTCTTTGGTCTTATATTTAAATAGAGAAATAAACTGTTTATGTCAATTTCAAAACTTCTTACTCAAAATTTCATCCAATCAAGTTGAATCTTAGGAAAAAAAAAATATACATTTAAAATAAGCTTCACATAAGAAATGAGCTTCATAATACATGAATTAAGTGGAATATAAGAATAAAATATTTATCAGATCTAAAATTTTAACTCCAAGGAATATAATTTCAATTAGAATTGATTCTATTATTGGTGTTTGAACTTTTCGATTTTTGTTATTTTGACATCTAAATGAAAAGAATTCTCCAATCAAGTGTCTAATGGTCAAAAAATTTTCTATTAAGGTGTTTTTTACATACGTGACACGTCGGACTTCACATCTGACTCAAAATTGGCTCACCTCTCGCCACATTAGTGGATGATGTGTAGTATACACTTCCGAATCATCCGGCCAAAGATAATCTAAATGTTTATGAAACGTATAGAATTTGTTTGGAAAGAAAATTAATCTTGGGTCATCCTTTGTTTAGAAAGAGAAGGTAAATATGTTAAGTAGTTCACATGATGGCAAAAGTTCATTTTAGGGGTAAATGGCATGTAAAATACACGTGACACATTGATTTAGATGATTAAACGACACATCATCTGCTGATGTGGTGAAGGATGAACCCCGTTTTAATCCAAATGTCAAGTTTAGTGTGCCACGTTTGCAAAAAAACACCTGATTGAAAATTTTTTTTAATGTTAAACACCTTATTGAAAATTTTTCTATTTAGACACCAAAATAGCAAAAATCGAAAAATTCAGACAAAAGTGGTGTAATTAACCTTTTCAATTATCTACAAATTATATTTGACTTGAGAATGAGAAAGAGATTGAATAATTCATATATATGGTACCATAAATTTTTATTAATATTGTCATTTGGGTTGCATTTTTAGAGCCGCTTGATTGTTTGAACACTCCTGATTGATTAAGACACAAAAGCTTATCATGTACACTCATTAGTATTAAGTACTATATTTCTAACCAAAAGATTATTTTATTGTACAACAACGGTAACAGAATGTGAGGAGGGAGGGCATAAATGTAAATGCATATAAAAGCTTATATTTATGGACCAAGCTAACGTCTTGGATTGGGTGCTAGATCGATCCACCACCGACTCTTTCTATCTCTTTGTTGGGGAGACATCCAGTCATCCACACGCCCATTGAGCATATGCTTTAGCCTTTATAGCTTTTGCTTCTCTAAGCCTTTTCTCTTTTACTGGACAACCAAATTGGTGATTGGACTGTATGACTCCACTATTTAAAAGACAATATTATCCTTTTTATGCCACTAAAATAAATTATGCTTTTTTATTATTATTTTTTCTTTATTTGGGATTACAAGTTAGTAAACCCTTAAAAAGTTATTTTTTATTTTCCTTTTTTTCAGAAAAAAAAGGTCTAAAAATGTAAATTTACCATTTGCTTTGGACAATTATATAATTCAATTTGCATGAGAGCTTGCTTGTGAACACTGAAAATTTCTTTTTGTAATGTGAATAAATAAATAATGGAATTTTCTCATTCTATTTCTAATTTTAAATATTATGTATTTGCAACTATATGATGTTGCATTTGTGTTTTGATGGATGGCAGTAATTTTATGTCAATTACTGTCCTTTTATGCAATTTCTTGTGACATTAAATTGGGTCATACCGTGTACGAAATTCTAATAAAAGTATTTGGTATATTATAATGTCACATAATAAAAGAAAATGTGAAAAATATGTAAATAAATAAATATGAAAAATGATGGTCTATTTGGAAGAGGTACATGAATTGATCTCCTTGACTTGACCACTCTTTTTGCATGGAATGGGACGCCTGTCATTGGAATATTAAAGTTCATGCTTTGTCGTGTCTCATTGGACTCTCACATGTGAAAATTATGAGTTAAACAAACAAAATTTCGGTAGCAAAAATACTACTCATCTCTTATCTATTATTTAGGGCAGCAACGGAACTAAGAACTAAAGTTAAGTTCTTCAAAAAATGTTAGTAAATGAGTCATATTCAAGAGATATGCTTTATGGTCCATTCTTCAAAAGTAGAAATGCATATAAAAGTGGTGGAAAAATTTAATACATTTGATTCAATTATTGTCCAGTTGAGTCATATTGAATTCAGGTACGTTAATAGAAATATCAATCATTTCATAGATTGCTTAGCAAAAAACAGTATTGAGGCTAATGTACTTTTTTTTTGGCTTGGATATTTATAGATTTTTTTATAATTTATCTTTTCTTATCTCAAGATGAGATATCTACGTCTATTTTGTTCTGTTGTATAAAGTTTTCAGTAATCAGATTTTTTCACTTATCAAACTCAAGTGTAATTTTGGATGTACAGAAAAAGCCCGCTGGCTCAGGTTTAGTTTCTTGAGTTTGATAAATTTTTCTGATTTTATAATTTAATAAAATATAATATAAATTTCTGATAAAAAAATTAAAATTAAGAGGACTAAAAAAAATTCCAGGAGTTAAAGGAGGTAAAGTTGAAAAAATGTACCATCTTGGTGAGTAAAATAAAAAATATATATATATTATGAGTGATTTAAAAAAAAAAAAAAAATAAATTTTCTGATTTTAATATACGTGAATTTAATAAAATAATATATAATTTTTCTGATAAAAAAAATTAAAATTAAGAGCGACCTTAAAAAAAATTCAGAGTTAAAGGTAGGTAAAGTTTGAAAAAAATGTACTAATTCTTGGTTGAGTAAAATAAAAAATATAGTATTATATTATGGAGTGATCTTAAAAAGAAACCAAAAAAAAAGGAAAGAGAATATTCGTTAAGGGAAGAGCGAGGAGGGGGAACACTTTTCAGTCAGGACACCCTTAGCTACCGTCAATACATTTACGGTCAAGTTAAAGCATAAAAGGTATTTCCCTCTCTCTAAAGTACATGGAGTGAAGGGTATGAGAGTTTACGCAAGAATAAGAAGCAGAGGTATATACCGTACGTTGCGAGAATCCGGAGCATGTGTTATAATTCAGGAGTTAACACTTATGATATTAACGAAACTGACTTATTCATCTATATTAGTTCGCGTGTAAGAACATCACACAAAGAGACCAATCATGTAAGGTAATGTCGAGAAGCTCAGTCATTTTTTCTCGAGCGTTTGAGACTCATGAGAGCGTATATAGGTAGAATCGCATAATGCTCAACAAGAGTGCACGTACGGGTGAGTGAGTAGTGGCTAGAGGAAAAAGTCATAGTCGGGGTGAGACAGTTTA